ATCTGTTTTATGGCAGATGCTATGTTAGATGATGAAGACACAGCAAAGACCAAGATACAATCAATCATCTTCTGCTGAGAGGATTATATTCTGTTTTTAGTTGAAGAAACAGAAGCTTAACTAATGATACAATTAATCACATAGAAATAACTGCTAAGCATGATAAGGAAAATTACAAGGTGATATCAGAGCATGTAATAGGAGTCTCCTGGTTCAGGGATGGCTTTTTTGAGGAAATGACTTTTATACAGAGACCTGAGGGCTAAATAAGACAGCTAGGAAAGAGATGGGGAAGAGATACTCAAAGGTCCCAGGAGGGAAGCAGCCTGGCAGCTGGTGAGACTGCAGCACAGCAGCAAGAGGGAAAACATTGGAGAGATGCTGGGGAAGTGAGCAGAGGATGGGGTAGACCAGCAGGCCCTTGAGAGCTGTGGTAAGATATTGAATCTTATCTCAAGAGCAATAAGTATTCTCAGCACCCAAAGTTCTGAGCAAGAGACAACTGCGTTTAAATTTGCTTTCATCATTCGGGCTGCTGGTTAGACATGGCATGGAGGAGGCAAGGCGGAAGCAGGAGAGTAGCTGGAAGGTTGCAAGGTGGCTCAGACAGGAAGAATGCTGGCCTGGCTAAGTAGGAGGTAGTGGGCTCAGATACAGGAAGAACTAGAAAGCCAGGCAGTTGGGTTGTTAGTATCAGCTCAATTATTGCCATTCAAAATCTTTCCAGGTGACCATTTCCACTCATTTCTATGGAGGAGATATCCTCTTGCTCCCTCCTAGGGATATTCTGGGATGCCTTAAGATCCAGGCTTCAGGCTGGTCTGTGTCTTGGAAATACAAGTTATTATTAACCTGCCCACATTCTGCCTTACTGGATGATACTGAAGATAATGATTCCTTCCTTCTCAGCGCAGCCCCCAGAGAGAGGAGAAACCTTTCTTCTTCCCAGGGGGTGGGGGCCTGATCGAGTGACTATATAGATGATCTGCATCTTGTCCTGGGTTAAATGACATTCACTATTAGGACTCAAATGGAGTGGGGATGGATTGTCTTAAACCACACAGTTCCTCTCCTTCGGCTCTGCCTCCAATGCTATGATGGTAATGTTTGTGATGTATAAACTTGAACTCTAAAATAACATTAAAATCTGTCTGTTGAATGTCTACCACATGACTCAAACGCCAGTCTTTCTGAGAGACTTAAGAATAGCAATGGGGGAGGCAGCAGAGAGCTAGAGAGACAGCTCAGCAGTTAAGAGCTGGCTGCTCATGCAGAGGACCTGGTTTGGTTCTCAAGACCCACATGGTGGCTAACAACGATCTGTAACTCCAGTTCCAGAGGATATGATGTCCTCTTCTGACTTCTGTGGGCATTGCATGGCACAGGTGCACATGCAGGCAAAACATTCAAATACATAAGAATAATAAAATATTTAAATAAAAAAGAACAGCAACTGGGCATGGTGACACACACCTTTAATCCCAGAACTCAGGACCCTGTCTCAAAAAGACCAAAAAAAAAAAGAGAGAGAGAGAGAGAGAGAGAGAGAGAGAGAGAGAGAGAGAGAGATAGACTAGCAATGGGAGGCATTGTTCCTCGTTTCAGAAATCCAAGTATAGAGGGCTGGAGATAAAGCTTGGTGGTAGAGCACTGGTATAGCATGGGCAAGGCCTTGGTTCAATCTCTAGTATCACACACACACACACACACACACACACACACACACACACACAGAAAAAAAAAAAAAACTTTGAAAAGAGAGATACACATATAGCTTTACTCTCTGTATCTTTTCATCCTAAGGTTTTCCTCCCTGGGACCCAATACTGCCTGTCACATAATCTTGTTATTTGAAAGTGGCAATGTGGGGCAGTCAAAATCATGGGACTGGGCTTGAGTTCCAGCCTCACTAGTTGCCAGCTGGGAAACAGAGGCAGCTGGCTTAACCTCGATGAACCTCCAGTTTTTCACTCTGCAATGGAAATCATAATACTTATTTCACTGGGCTCCTGTGAAGGTTAAATAAAATCGTGTATGTAAAACATCTAGCATAGAGCCTGACCCCTAAAAGGCACATCTGAGATAAATACTCGGTTGTCCAAATCCCCTGGGCTGAGCTTTTCAATGACTAGCAAAAGTCTCCTCCATCTGAGTTGGGCATTTTTCTAGTTACTGGCATCTCAATGGGTTTGGAAGATCTCATCCAACATGTCCCCAAAAACCCGTAAAATCATGTCAGGCAGAATCAGTTTTAGGCTTTAACATTGGGGGCTGGAGAGATGGCTCAGCGGTTAAGAGCACTGGCTGTTCTGGCAGAAGACCCAGGTTTGAATCCCAGCACCCACAGGGCAGCTAACAACCCTCTGGTAACTCCAGTTCCAGAGGATCCCACACCCTCTTCTGCCCTCCAAGGGCAGTGCACAACAGAGGTGTGCTTACACACATGCAGGCAATACACTCATACACATAAATAAAATTTTAAAATTTAAATTAATAAAAATGAAAGTAAAGAAATTAACATCAAAGCCAGGAAGATACCCAATGTTTTGCACATTGCGTTCCAATCAAGTTGAAGAAAATTTATTTGCTGACCCAAAATCCCACGGAGGAAATCCAGTTGGGTTTTGTTTTAAGTAGACTGGACCATTAAAATCTGTTCTCCCTCATCTACCCACCTCTATTTCTTCAGGTGTTTCCTCTCAAAAGTGCCTGGCGGTCAGTGGTAAGTTTAGGTAAGGGTGAGCTAAGGCGGAAGTCACATTCCTTGGGGACCTGCTACAGCCTTTCCCAGTGTGGCCTCCTCTCCCCTCCTGCTGCTCTGCGAAGCAGGAGAAGCCCAGCGCTTCCCCAGCAGACTTGGGTGCCTGCTCCCGAACTCACGAAGTGCAGTTCTCGGTGGACTCCGTGACACTATCATCGACCTCCATGTTGGCTGAGAGGCTGGCAAAGCCATGAGGCAGCTCGTCCCACTCATCAAAGCGGATACCGGTGCCGAGGGAGTAGCGGCCCTCCGCGCACGGTTTGCAGGACTGGTCCTTCATATCCAGAAACTCCCCGGCATTGCAAGAGAAGGCTGGAAAACAGGGCAGGGACAAGGGAGGGGTGCTGAGGCCACTGTACTCCCTGGAGAAGTGGTGGGGGCTGAGGCATTCTAAAGGGGGGCGCTCAGGGTTGGGATCTCAGAGTTTGGCCCACTAAAACTGTGGGCCAAGAAACACCTTGTGTGATGCAGTTTATATAGAATGGCCAGAAGAGGCAACACCATGAGGCGTAAGGTGGGAGGGAGAGGACTACAGAGAGATTGTCACTAAGAGGTTATTATTTTTTTCCAGATGATTAAAATGCTCCAAAACTTGAGTAGAAAGGATTGCTGTGAATATTCTATCAGCCACTGAAATTTATCCAGTAAAAAGTAGAATGTATGGCATACAAGTTGTATCTTGTGAAGCAGAGGCAGAAGGATTGTTGCAAGTTCACAGTCAGCCTGGTCTATACGGCAAGTTCTAGGCCAGCAATGGCTACACAATGAAATCCTGTCTCAATAAGCAAAAATAAAACCACAGCAAAAAGAAAGTGGGGAAAGGGAGAAAGCAATATAGATGATGAAGATTTAAGGTTGGGCAGGCTCTGTCTTGCTGCGGGACTTTGGGCTGCCATTCTGAAAGTATTCTAGCAAGGAGGCTGCTGAGCCTTCTGGACCATGCAACGTCCTTCAGCCTTGACTTCTCCCGTGAGCCTCTGGCTTCCATCTCTCCCTTTCTGACTATACTACTGCCATGCTAGTTGAGGTTCTCAGCACCTGTTAAACCACTACAATGTCCTTTTAAGTACTTCCTGAGTTCTTATTTTGGTTCATTCTATAGTCGGAGGCATCTTTCTACAAGATGGATTTGTACTGTTATTCTCTATTTAAAAAGCAAGTGCGCTGGGCATGGTGGTGCAAGCCTTTGATCTCAGCACTTGGGAGGCAGCGGCAGTTGGATCTCTGTGACTTCAAGGCCAGCCTGGTCTACGTAGTAAGTTCCAGGACAGCTGGGGCTACAGGGAGACCCAAAAAGACCAAAGGTCTCAAAAAGACCAAAAAATAAAAATAAAAAGCAAGTGCATTGCCAGGTATAGTGGCACACACCTTTAATCCCAGCACTCAGGAAGCAGAGGCAGGCAGATCTCCAGGAGATTGAGGCCAGCCTGGTCTATATAGAGAGTTCCAGGGCAGCTGGGGCTACAGAGAGACAAAAACAATAAAAAGCAAGTGCTTGCTTTGGCAGCACATATATTAAAACTGGATCTATACACAGGTTAGAGAAAAAAATATGGCACCGCTTTGGGTTATTGCATTAAGCTTCAAGCCTGGCATTCAGCCTTCTGTAACTCCCCTGGTCCTGACTTTCCAGCCTGACTTCTCCACTTGAACCCTGTTGCCTTCTCTGTGCTGCCTTTATGCTGGACCCCAGTCTCTTATGTCTAAATTCTTCTACCTCCAAGGTTTTGCTCAGGTCTTCCCAGCTGCTACTCTCCACTAAGAATCCATAATTCTTTTTTTACCTCACATTGTATTAACACATTTCCTCTATCTGCTATCCACGGGGCTCTGAGCTACCCCAGGAAATGCCTGGCTCAGAGATGGTACTGGCATCACAGAGGTGCCAACAAAGGTTTGCTGAAGCAATGAATGATGGACTGAAGGTCTGCTCCCTCCTTCATGCTGTAAGTACCCGCAGCCAGTGACTGGTCATTATTGATCTTTGTGACCTACCCAGCATCCTGATACACATAGTAGGTGCTTACACATGCTGGGGGTTCACTAAGGGTCACTGTGTCAACTAAGGATGGCTCTTTTGTTTCTGTTAGCTAAACCAAGTTGTACCCAGGTACAACTGTTGTTCCCAGGATTCAGCAATATCCATTCATTGATGCTCACCCCCTGAACCAGACACTAGGGAAAGTTAATTTTGGAATTTAAATGTACTTACTCACCTTTCTAACTCTTTAAATAATTCCTTAATTCTAGTTCCTGGTTTTTACTGTTATTCCCTTTGTATTCCTAAAAGATCAGGACATGGGACATAGTGGCCAACTGTAGAAAAGTTGTAACAATGGAATTCACAGAGGCAGGGTGGGAGCCACAGCAAGCTATTGCCTTTCTGGCTACATAGTCATATTCACAGCTGGGAGGTTCTCGCTCCCTGAAGCAATGCCCAGTGTATCTTAAAAGCCTGTCTCAGCAGAAGTTCAATTTCTCTGGCTTCCTTTTCAAGAACAAAAGCAAACTGCAATATTGCCTAATGACAGTTCGTAGCTGGTGAATGTAGATTAGAGAGAAATGCACAGGCAGAAAATAAAGATGAATGAAAAAAAATATACAAGTGGAAGACAGCTAGAATTGTTTATATTTTACTCATTGGATCTAAATTTAAAAAAATAAAAGTAAATTCAGGTACCCAGTTTGCATCTATAAAATAACATTTCTGTACCACATTTCAAAAGAGGACAGTGACTAACTGGGAGAAAGATCTTATCCCTACATCGTCAAGAGGAGCCTAGTGTGGATGGCAAGAGAGTTGAGGTAGAGACCAGAGCTAAGTATCAGGAAGGCCCTGGAGCAGGAAAGCTGCTTACAGCACTCGGTGCCCTTGACGGGGTCAGGGAGGCTGGTACACAGGCCCGGGGTGTGCGGCACGGCGACCCTCCACCTGGAACCCGTGCTGTCACATGCGGTGTACTCATAGTGATACTCTGACTGCAGGGGAGAGAACAGTGGGCAGAAAGGTCCATTAGCACTCATCAAATATTAACAGTTTCCTGCCCAGCATGAGGGCAACTGACACCCTTTATTACAGTAATGGCCCAGGGAGCAAAGCATCATAACACCCAAATTACAAAGCCGATGTGAGAACTACAATAACTGGGATTGTTTCTTTCTACCTGGCTGTGGTCTAGTGCCGTAGAAGTCCATTTGTGTGTGTGTGTGTGTGTGTGTGTGTGTGTGTGTGATTCTCTTTATTGTTGTGTACAATGTCCTAAAAAGCTAGGGTTGGGAATACAACTCAGATGATAGAGTGCTTGCAGAGCAGGCAGGAAGCCCTCGGTTTGAAGACTAGAGGTTCAAGGCCATTCTCAAATACATAGTGAATCAAGAACAGCCTAGGCTATATATAGACCATGTCTAAAAAGAAATCTAGAAACTGGAAGCTTTTTTTGTCTAAATAATAGAATTTGTGAACAAGAACATTCTAAATGATAAGACTCTAAATGGAAGGGCTGGTCCACAAAAACATTTACAAGGGATTGTCACACAAAGCTTTATTTCTAGTTCTCCTTCTACTCACAAAGACTCTCAACTCTCACTTGCATTATAAAAGTGTAATATATAGGGGCTGGAGAGAGGGTTCAGCGGTTAAGGGCACTGGCTAGTCTTCAAGACGACCTGGGCTTGGTTCCCAGTATCCAAACTGTAACTAACAAGCATCTTTAACTCCAGTTCCAGGGGATCTGGTGGGCATTGCAAACATGGGTGCAATTACATAACATGCAGGAAAAACACTCATACACATTAAATAAAAATTTAAACAACTCTCTCCAGTGAAGCTTCCTCACACAGTGGAGGGCAGTGAACACAGATGGCCACAACTGACCAAAGTATAGAAAACAAGAGACTGCAGAGTATGTATCCCTGGATAGGACTTCCATATTAAACATCATCCACTCAGGGCTCAGGAAGAGGGGGTAGAAAGGTTGTAAGAACCAGGAATAGTGCATGATCATAAGGAAACAGTCTTTTTCTTATTATTTTATTTTTATGTGCATGTGCGTATTGCCTGCATGTATGTAAGTACACCTGTGTCCCTGTGTCATGAAATGCCCAAGGAGGACAGAAGAGGCTGTTGGATTCCCTGGACTGTAGTTACAGACAGTTGTTAGCTGCCATGTGGGTGCTGGGATTCAAACCCGGGTCTTCTGCAAGACCAGCCAGTATTCTTAACTGCTGAGCCATCTCTCCAGCCCCAGGAAACAGTCTTACAGGCTTTTGGGAACTTGCTCATATGACTTACAGCTATGGTGACAGCATGCACAAGACCCATGCAAACTCAATCAGACAAGAACCAGCATACAACAAGGGAAAGGCACAGGAGGCCCCAAGGAACTATTGGCAGCTGATCACTGCTGGATGAGGGAGAGTTGATCCTCGTTAAGGGAGTGAGACTAGACAGGCTGAACAGGCTCCAGTAGATGAACTCACACGGAGGGACATCTGGATAACAAACTTGACTCAATAGGCCTTAGCATATATGACATAATGCATGAAATCCTGTGGGTGGGCTATGGGAGGTGCCCATAGGAGAGAGGATCTAAATATGATTAAGTTGTATTGCATGAAATCCACAAAAATTCAATAAAAAATATACATTGAAAAGTGTCATATTTAGCCCAACAGGTAATGTGCAGTCAGCACATGTACCTGTCCTTGCTCAAGTTCCCTGTGCACAGGGAGCTCACTCTTCAGCTGCTTCTCCTGAACTAGCGTAAACTGAATGACAACAACATAGTCACCACTGGAGAGCAAGGGAACACAATTGATGCACCAGGCCACCTTAAACAAGTCTTACTCCTTCAGATCTTCTCATAAACCCCAGATCAGTTTTGTCCTAACAGTTTCATGGTCTTCACTTGCCCAGAACTATATTCACACCTGTATTTTGTGTCACTGTATCTGTAAGAAAAGCAGGATGAAGTCCCCATTCCATCAATGCTGAAAGCATGATTCTCTAACATGCTTAACTGCAAGGGGCTGAGGCTAACCAGTTAACTAAGACAGTCTGAAGTTTGCTCATCTGTCGCATCAGGACCACAAGGAGAAAGCTTTGTGGGGTTTTTTGTTTTTGTTTTTGTTTTAATATTTTATTTATTATTTTTATTTTATGTGTATGAGTGTATTGCCTGCATGTATGTGAGTGCACCCATGTCATGCAATGCCGAGGAGGTCAGAAGAGGGTTTCGGATTCCCCTGGAACTGGAGTCAAGGACGGTTCGTAGCCGCCATGTGGGTGCTGGGAATTGAACCCAGGTCCTCTGCAAGAGCAGTCAGTGCTCTTAACTGCTGAGCCATCTCTCCAGTCCCAAAAGCTTTGTTTTTATAAAAAGTAAACACACTATATCTCATCTATCCTAAGATGCACATGCTTTCACATTTAACATCTGTGAAATCAAAGTGTGTCTTATTGTGTCATATTTTAAGTAATTCAGAGCCTTTTTTTTATGTTACACTAAAAAAAAATGGTGTGTCACCAGGCATGGTGGCACACGCCTTTAATCCCAGCATTCAGGAGGCAGAGACAGGTGGATCTCTGTGAGATCAAGACCAGGCTGGAACTACAGCAAGTTCCAGGCCAGTTGGGTCTACAGGGAGACCATGTCTCAACAAAACAAAACAAGACAAAAGTGGTGTGTCTTATAAGCAATGATATCTCAGATTTGTTGAAATATGTTGAACATTTTGTTTCTCATTCTGTGATTACAGAAACTTAGGAGGAGGAAAGAACAACTGTAGGCTCCATCTTTATTTTCCTCTCATAAGTATTTGCCAAATACATATTGTAGGCCCAGCATACAGAGGTCTGAGCTGTACCCAGTGTGACTCAGGGCAGCAACATGAACTTGGCACTTTCCCCTTGAAGAAGAGATACAGAACAGAGTGGTTGGGAGAACTGAAGCCTAAGTTTTGTTTTGTTTTGTTTTTTGGATTTTTTTTGTTGTTGTTTATTTTTTTTTTGAGACAGGATCTCCCTGTAGCCTCACTGGCCTGGAGCTCACTATGTAGACCAGGCTGGCCTTAAACTCACAGAGATCCCTGTCTCTGGCTCGGATTAAAGGCATTCACCACCACACCCAGTAGAAGCCTAACTTTTTGTTTGCTTGCTTGTTTCAGACAGAATCTCCTATAGCCCAGGTTGTCTTTGAACACTCTCTTAAATTACATTTATTCGTGCATGTGTGTGTGTGTGTGTGTGTGTGTGTGTGTGTGTGTGTGTGTGTATGCGTCCACGAGCATATTCATGTATGGAGATCAGAGGACAACTTGCACAAGTTGACCATCTCTTCTACCATGTGAATCTCAGAATCAAACCCAAGCTGTCAGGCTTACAGCAGGTGCCTTTACCCAGAGAACCATATCTTGATCCTGGCTTTGAATTCACATATGACCTTGAACTCCTTGATCCCCTTGCCTCTGCTTCTCAAGTGCTGGGATTTATAGACCTGCGCCAACACATCCATATCCTGAGGATTAATTTTTTTCCCAGAATTTGTACCTTTGAATTTAATATTAGTGTCACCAAAAAAGAAAGACCTTCAGGATGGGAATCTTTGAGCCCTGGGCTACTCTGTCTCTGAGCCTATTTTTTCCTATAGTTACAGTTGTTGCCTCACTTCAAAGGACTTAAGGGTAACCAAGACTATTTTGATTTCAGTTCTAAAAATGATACTTTCCAAAGGTTTTTTTTTTTTTTTAAGAATGAGGGTTAAGTGAAATCCACAGTACTAATATCCAGTGGAAATTTGACTAGACAGAAGGGATTCTGCCTGTGAACCTAATTGCCCCCTGTCATTTGTACAGTGCTTTCCCCATTCCCAAACCCCATCTTGTTTGAACCTCACAGCTCCCTAGCAGGAAGGCAGAGCAGTTGTTCTCTTCATTGTATAGGTGACTCTTGACGGGGTTAAATAGCTTGATCAAAGTCACAACCTGTAAGTCACTGAGCTAGAACTCAGAATCCTCTCCTGCTTTTCCAGCTCTGACCAAACACAAAGTTGCATTAGACCAAATTTCACAACCAAGTCTAAAAATTAAATGACATTATAGGTCATCTGCCAGCAGTCAGGCTAGGCTCCCTTTGGAGGCCTGAGAACTGATGTTAAAATACCTAATCTGGAGCAGGGCGTGGTAGCACACACCTTTAATCCCAGCACTTGGGAGTCAGAGGCAGGTGGATCTTTGTGAGTTCAAGGCCAGCCTGGTCTACATAGTGAGTTCCAGGCCAGGTGGGGCTACAGGGAGACCCTGTCTCAAAAACACAAAAAAAAACAAACAAAAAGGACCCTAATCTGTTCAAGCAGAAAATTTTAATTCATTCTCATTGCACGTGGCCCTTTGAGGGCACTCCTTTTCATGGATTTTCACTTGATGTCTCCTGGTGTTGATCAGGATAGGGCACCTGCTAGGGAAGTGGTGGTTCTGAGCCTTAGAAAATTTCCCTTTTAATATGTGCTAATTTTCTTCATGGCACTTGGGGATAGTCACAGCATCCAAGGTTGCAGAGCTCTGATGCAGCTGTCTGAAAACTGAACTATGCTTCAAGATCATACCATATACATCACATTTAGGCAGGGAGGGTTCAATCAGGGAATATCTGGCAGGCTTCCTCCATTCTAGTTGGTATTGTCTATGAGGAGAACAAGTCCCCAAACATGTTAGTTACTTTTCTCATTACTGTGGCCAAATACCTGACAAAAAGCAATTGAACAGAGGAAGGGTTTGATACAGCCCATCTTGGCGGGGAGGCATGGCAGCTGCACCGAGAGACTGCTGGCTCCCATCTCAGTGGACCAGAAAGCAGAGAAACGGGAATGTCAGGTATCACTGACTTCCTCCTTCTCCTTTCCTATTCAGTCAATGACCCCAGCCCACGGGATGGTGGCAACCACATTCAGTGTGGGTGTCCTCTCCTTTAATCTTCTCTGGAA